AAAAATTTTGTAACCTTTTCTGTAGGTGTGGCCTGCTTTCCGGGTCTACTGGTAGAACCTCTTCTAACCGGTTCGGTAGATTTGATGAATCGGTTCTACCGAATAGGAACCCACCTCTGGTGTCAATGATGGTTTTCTGCACAACTGTCAGGTCAACAGTCTTTTCCATGATTGTGATTTCTACTAAACCAGACAGAGACCATTTAAAGGCTCAGGAACCCTTTGCAGGTGTTACGGATTAATTAGCTGATTAGAGTAGGACACTTTGAGCCTAGAATATTGGACCTTTTCACAATATTGTAATTTTCTGAGATTGTGGATTTGGGGTTTTCATGAGCTGTACACCATAATCATCACAATTATAACAAATCACAGCTTGAAATACCTTGCTTTGCATGTAATGAGTCTATCTCATATATTAGTTTCACCTTTTAAGTTGCATTACTGAAATAAATGAACTTTTCCACGATATTCTAATTTTTCGAGTTTCACCTGTAGGTGGCCATGAAATGTTGCAAGTATATTCAGATGATTGAAGAAGAAAAAAGGGTATTAGAAGAATATCTGATGGACAGTGAAAAAGATGCACTGATGCTAATAGACCAGGAAAGCTTACTGAATATTGGAAATGGCCTGCCAAACTCACTATTCAAAATGGCGGCTGCCTCGAAACAATGTCCAAATGGTGGCTGCGGTCTCTATAGCGTTGAGCCTCATTCCCTTGTTGTCCGGAGCCCCTGCGGGAACCTCAGCCGACGCTCACCCGATCCATTCACTAGCCAATTTGCTAGCAGCTCCGCTCTGGAGTGCCTTTAAACTTCAAACAGAGTTTTGACAGCTCCGCGCTATTGGCTCTGAGCCTCATGCAAGGCTGCAAGGAACCTGAGGTGCTGCCCAAGAGTTGTCAAAGAGATCCAAAGTCTTTTTTAAAAAAAAAAAACTGCTGCTATGGAGTAAATCTTCTGCTGTAATGAAGAAATGGTTGAAGAATCCAAGATAATAACTTTAATTTCTGTGCTCATTGACTGAGGAGAGAGTCTAAGTCACTACTATGGGCTTGACTAAGTTGAGAAAAACTGAGGCAATCAAGCCAAGAGGTGTGGCTAAAGACTCTAAAATTAACTCAGTCACCGGGCAGACAAACTGAAGTTGAATTCATGCTTGGATTCTCCAAGCAGCACACAGAAGATAAAGTATTACATGACTAGTATATTAAAAACAAACAGGTAAAGCAGATAATAGCAAGACTTGGCAATGGCTAAGGGCAGAAAAGTTACAGAAAGAGACAGAGGGGCTAATTCTGGTTGCAGAAAACAACCCTAAATTACTCTGGGGCTTTAGAATTCAAACATGCAGGCATTTGTCACATAACACACCAGACTTGCCAATAACAAAGAGAAAAAAGTCTAGATAATGGATGTGGCAGTACCTGGAAACAGCAGAATAGAAGAGAAGGAAGTGAAGAAGATAATTAAATACAAAAACCTGCAAATAGAAATTGAAACAATGGCAAAAGAAAGCAAATGTAGAAACAATAATAATAGGCACTTGGGGCGCAATTCAAATACAACTGAAGCACCACTTAAACTCCATCGGTATTGACAAATTCACCATCGGTCAATTGTAAAAGGTAGCTTTATTTGGAACAGCTTACATCTGCAATGATACCTCTAATGCCATAAAACAACAACCTCTGCCTATCCCAGGTCATTGAGGACATACTAGGTGGATAAAATCCAGTCTAGACATCTGGCTGACTGTGCTTATATATTTTATATGTGGCGCAAAACAATTCCTTTTCACTCATTAAGGCTCAGGCAAGCCAAAGTTCTCCCCCAATGGAGAAAACCAACTTAATTTTAGGAGATTAAGGTATTTTTTTAAACGGTAAACTGGATAATTTAAGCACAAAGTATATATATAGCAAGCTAATGAAAAGAGTTCGAAGAATGAAGAAGACATTAGAACCACAGGTCCAGAAGAAGCCTGCATTAAGCCTAGAGCAGAAAAAAGTAAAAAAGAGACTCGGACTGACCCACTCTAACTCCCTGGGAGTAATGGGAAGGGAAGAGAAAACACAGGTAAACTAACAAGATTCTATTTCCATAGCCTACATATCAATAAAGTATGGTTGTAGTATACCTATGGAGTCAGTTTCCTGTTCTACTCATAAGACTGACAACAAGGACTTCTTAAGCTCCTCTAACACTGCAAGAGATTGCTTGATTCCACCCAGCCACATTAGTGTGCTAATAGAGTTGTACACAATTTGTCAACAGTAGGCATACATGCAAAATGCTTTGTAGTTTAAATGGGCAATGGCTATCCTAATTCAATTTTCCAATACAGGTAGTCCTTGAAAGTTACAACTGACTCATAAAGGGAACTTATAACCCAGATTTAAAGTTCTGATAGTTGGGCCTCCTTTGCAGTCACGAGTTAATTTTGGGCCCTTGCCAATATTGTCACATCTAGGGCCATTTGCAGCATACCCTGGCCATGTGATTGTATTTTATGATAATTTTGCCAAAACTTAGCACTTCTGGTTTTCAGGAAAAATCACACCCATAGCGAACCATTGGTTCATTTAACACACACTACAAAAAGTCATAAAATTGAGCATGACCAATTTACCACTGTTACAATATACAATAGTAATGGGTAGGTTCCATTATGGCCATATGTAGAAAACAACATGTATAGGCCTGAAAAATAGAAAGACTGGAACAGGCTGAGTATCTCCTGCAAAGTTTTTTTGCTTCCACTTTTTCTCTTAAAGGTATAAAAAAGTATACAGAATTTGTCCCCCATAGCAAACAGGAACTTGTAAGTTAATAGGAAGTTTCAGAAACAGTGACTCCCTGATTGTGAGATAAGTATCTATCTAAATAGCTTATAAATGACACTTACGTCATGTCTAAAGTTATAACTTAAATTAAAATATATAAATGAAAAAGTAAGTTAAATGATACAAATGAATTACTTAAGAAAAACAGGTTGACTCTAACTCTATTGGGATATATGCAAGCAGAATATAAACACAACATCAATTCCCCAGTGTGGTTTCCCAGCAAATATATTTTAGAAAAAATATTATTTAAAAAAAGTTAATAAACTGAAAGGGTTCATAATGAAATAAATGCAAATTGGGAAAAGATAAGAAAATGGTGATTCAATTTGTTTGGTTACATGCAATTATAGTAAAATACTTATTCCATAAATAAATATGTATCCTTTCTAACTTATAATTTATTATAGAAAATATATGAATATGAAAACAGTTACCTGCTTTCCTCTTGTATCTTCTGATAATGAAGTAGGAAACAATATACAATATCGCAAACAAAAGAAAACAGATCTGAAAGAGAAAGTTTCACAGTTGAAGCAACAATTTAAAATATTAGAATGGAACAAATTTTAAAACAAAAATGCTTTTATAAAATTAATGTAGTCCTCGACTTATGACCACAATTGAGCTCAGAATTTATGTTGCTAAGTGAGACATTAAATGAATTTTACCCCATTACCTTTCTTGCGACGATTGTCAATTAAACTACTGTAGTTGTTAAGTTAGGAGCATGGTTGTTAAGTGAATCTGACTTCCCGATTGACTTTACTTGTTAGAATATTGCAAAAGGTGATAGGATAGGATAGGATAGGATAGGATAGGATAGGATAGGATAGGATAGGATAGGATAGGATAGGATAGGATAGGATAGGATAGGATAGGATA